ATTAATATACATAACTTTTTTAATAAGGAAAAATTATTGAAACCTTTATATTAGAGAAATATTGTTATTATTATTCATGTCGAATATTTGAGTGATAGTTTTTCTCTCCTTCCAGTCAATAATTTAATTTCACTATAAGCATTATATCTAGCATATAATAGCTTCCCTTTTCTCTTTCGACGAGCCGACAGGGATTTTTTCCCACAACTTATTTCGATACTTCAATATTAATTTCACGACTAATCAAACGAATGACACTGCAATTTTCTCGCGTGTCAATCTCAGCAACAGGTGTCAAGGCCATTCGCGCGATACGCCGCGGTAGCCGGAAGTTGCGCCTTCCCGTTGGCGTCCACCGTTGCAACGGACATTGAATGATAATGATTTGCCGTGGTTACGTAGTTAGGCTTCTTTCGTGACGCGTAATGCGTCAGAATACGTCGGGGGTGCTCCCGGGAAGATTGAAAACGCAATGCAGAATCTCTGTTCATCTTGCCCGTCTCGCGCGAATCGACAACGCTCGATGCGGAGATTACCGTCTCTGCTTCTTTCATCAAATTATCATCAAATCGATTCTCGACGGAAAATAATAATTCGTTGATGGAATCGCGCCATTGCGTCAAGAATTGACTGGTCTCGAGGCACAATCGTTCGGAAATCCGTCAAAAATCAAAACAGAAGCTAACAGAAGCTTTGAAGCTTTAAAAATTTATTCACTCCGCTTGTAATTTTTCAACATTTCGATTATTTCTTACTGTGTTTTCTCACTGCCACTGCCATCATCAGTATAACCGATGATGTTACATACCTGCATAATGCGCTACATTTAGCTTCGCAATCATCATCACGGCGGGAAGCGCCCAGCAGTCTCTCGCTGGACGTTAAGCAAGTACTTGTTAAACTAATTTGCTGATTATCACGGCGTGCCATCGAAGAGTGATGAAATCTGCTTCACGATAGATGACATTCATACAGCTTCCTACACAACATATTACATACATATTACTTCTACGATTTCAGGGCTCATAATTATAGTAGACGTGAAATCATTTATGTGTTATACGATCCTCGTCTCTCGAGTAAAGAAGTTTGAAATAACAACTTTAAGATGTGAGTATTTCAATAGCAGTTAACAAGATGATTAACACCAACTGTTTTTGTTGCCTAGACAAACTGGTGTATGTGTGTAATAAATAAATTTGACTGCATCTTTGCTTTATATTAAATCATATAAAGCAAAGTGGTTACATTATGAATGTTTAGACGACAATCATAATTTTAAAAGAAAATGAAATAGAAATGTGAATAAAATTAATAATATTTATTTGAAACAATTCTTTACTTGTGATAATATCATAAAAATAATACCACAATTTTAGAGTAATTTTTGATATACACATTATTACAACACTGCAACAAAAATTTAAATCATTGCAGGTTATAAAGTTTTTAAATAGTTTAATATAACTTTGTTTTTATAAATATAATGAAACGATTTTAAATTTTCAATTCATTAGTTATTGCATATTTTGCTAGTCATATCAATTTATTTAAATTTATATTTAAAACACTTTTGTAAAGAAAGAAAAGAGAGATTTTTATTTGTTGTAAATATTAAGTAATAAACGTTTCACAATTTCAGTACGTGCGTACGTGCGTGCCAAGCAAAAGCATACAAATTTACATTATCGCAGTTAATTAATTCGCCAAACGTATATACGGTGGGCCGTAATGAATTATCTAAATACCGGTAGAGAAACACGAGGGCCTCGAGCAAAAATACGAGAAATACATCGTCGTGCGCAAAAGGTGCATACCTAACAGCAAGCAATCAGATCTTATCGAAGTCCCTCGTGACCATAAGCCGGCAATAGCTTTCAAGTGAGATGACACTATCTATCATTTGGCTCATAGAAAACCGGACGCTACTTCTAGTTTCGTGAATTCGTCGTCGTCGTCGTCGTCGTCGTCGTCGTCGTCGTCTTACGGAAGTCAGAGTTCAATCGCGACCGGGATTATCGCTGTCTCGCTGACTCTTGCCTCTTGCCGAGGTGAGCTCGATGATCGTTAATCAGCCGGTCGTTATCTGATGCTGAATTGCACCGATCCCAGATCCCGTAGCCGAGATGCTAACGGGAGTAAGTAAGCCGATCCTACATACGTAAATTGAGAATCGAACGGACGACACTACCGCGACAATGTTAGTTTGGCCGATAATAAACGTAAATCGAAATCGGATATGTTTTTTATGATGCGAGTTTGAGAGGTACTTTTTTGTAGCTGAGTTTGTCCTTTTCAACAGAGTCATTGAAGAGAATGAATTTGCGAGAGTAATACTGGAAAAGGTAGCACAGAAATTTAAAAATAGACAAATTGCAATAAATCAGCAATAATTCCGTGTATAATTTTTTTTTTCCGATGTAAAATGCAAAAATTCAAAGATTTTTATATTGCATAAATGTCATTGGTCTCGATTCTTGTAAAAAAGTATTTAAAATTAGGAAATCTCTTGCGAAAATTTTAAAGATAGAAAAAAATTAATTTACTGTATTAACATATTGTCAATCTACAAATAGGAAAGAAAGCAATGGAAATTTAAAACAATCTACATATATTGCTCGTGTTTAAAATTTACAAAAGGAATATTTATTTTTTTAAAACATTTTACAAAATTAAGTTAGCTTTGACGGAAAGTTTAGATGGCATGGCGCATTTTTGTAAAATAATGACTTCTGTTATTATGTGGTATAGGACGAAAAGATACTATCCAAATATCGATTCATGCATCACTTGCAGGACTCCCGTAAAAATCCCAATATATAATTTATAAACGATTGGCGGTCGTTACGGAGTAACTTTAGTAACGGAGAATGTAAATTCGCGATGCTCGAACGCCAACTTCTGTAACAGCGCCTTTAAACAGGTTCTGCGCATCGCCGATCACGTTGTAATTAAATCCAATAGATCCTACCGGACTCGTCGATTTATTGCGCTCTTTATCCAATAATGTATAGCACAAATTAGAAATTGCAAATACACGCCTTGTGCACGCCGAGCGTTACGCGCCGCGCGAAATTGGAGGGTATTGAATTTTATGTTCGTCCCGTTCGGGGAACATCAATACCAAAGATTAATTCGAAGAAGGCGTTTGCATAATCAAATATGCATTTAACCAAATTTGTGAAGAACTCCAAGCACTTTCGGGATCGATAATATTCCATAGTTGATGTCTCCCTTCCATGAAATCGAGCTTGTAAATTTCAGTCTTAAAAGAAGGGCTTCGTATGCTGCATCTGTATTCTTAATTGCGAGTGAATACCGTATTCAAATTTCATTATTTACATCTGTATTACAAACATTAAATTATTATATTAATATGTGTATATTAGTATGTGTTAATATTATAAAAATATGAATTACTTCAGTATTTATATATTCATATATTTCTAGGTAAAAGTCACTTATATATTATAGAATTTGTAATTACAAATTTATAATTGTGACTAATTAATTGCAATTTTTGGCAGACGTTAATCACCACTTAAGGTTCTTTAAGAATTTTAAATAAATTTATTGGAAAAAAATTGAATTTACCTAAAGCATATAAAAACTTAGTTAATACAGATCTAATTTCGAAATAATTTTATTGGGCTATCAAAATAATTATGTAAAACGTTCAAATTGGTTGCTAGAATGTTGAAAGCTTTTACTACATCACCACACTTTAAGTTAAAGTGTCTTACATAATTATCTTGATGGTCCAAAATTGTTTTCTGATCTGTACCTCATCAGCGAAATCGATCTTTTCATGTAACATTTTTCATAAACACGAATATTAATATTGAGTGATTTTCTGCGAAACATTGTAGGGGGTGAACACGAATATTAATATTGCATTATTTTCTGCGAAATGTTATAGAAAATAAATAAATGTTTTTTTTTTCTTTAACAATAATTATGACTTTAACTAATCAGATCAATCAATTCTTAGTTATTTCTTTAACAATGATGCTGCATTACGTTTGTCCAGCAACTGCCGCTTCAGAAATGCAGTAATAAGCCTGTCATATGATTACGGAGCATCTTCTCAGAGACACCTCGTTATGCGATTGTGGCTCCTTTTTTTACAAGGAAAAAAAGATCGTTCGATTTTGCAGGACTTTTTTTCTTCGCGGAGTGCGCGTTCGTGCAGAGTCGTCGCGTTACCTCAAGGTAACTTAAGATTCGCGGGCTTTTCGGTGTAATCCAGATCCTCATAATTTATTCAAATAAGCAAAATGGCAGCCGGGGGCGATATTTTGTTCGAAATTACAAGCTGTCTTGCGACCCACCGAAATTGCGGGGTAAACGTGTGATTGCACAAAAAAAGAAGCTAGTCACCGTCGTTATACAAAGACACCTTAATTCTGTTCTCTCTGAAATATTTATTTGGAATTTATGGTTTGTGCAATTTTTCTTTGTATTATATAAAATTATGAACAATGTACGATGTTATTTCTCTGCGTTAAATTGTATTAAATAATTGATTGTCCCATCAATGAAAAATCTTTTAATCTTTTAAAAATTAAATCTTATTAAATGTAAAATCTTTTAAATATACCAATTAATAAATTATATTTAAATTTTTCTTTTAAATTTATCTTTTAAATTGATTACCTGTTAATCTAGTAGTTGATAAATATTACATGCAAATGCCCATTATAATTTGCATAAATATACGGAAAGAATAGTTTTGCTCAAAGTTTAGCCAGATACAAATCTGAAAATAATATCATTGAACCATTAATTATGTAAAGCGATCAAATTAACTATTAGAATATAAAAAATTGTTACAGCATTAATATCGTGCATAAGCCTTCTATAATTATTTTGATGTCTCAACAAAATCGCTTCAGATCTATATCTAAATTATTAGGTATTTCAGCAAAATCGTGCTTCCTCCGTAATTTTTACATTTTATGTAAAGGGATTTTGATGCACGATAATAATCTGTTGTTCAGAGTGCAACGTTGCGGGGTTTGTCAACAGCAACGGCCATGTGGAGAGAGTACCGTACGTCTTCTTGCCACAGCGAGGACAAATAATATATCCGCACGCGGAGATTCGTTTCGAAGGTAAGTTAAATACAGCATTAAGTAAAGATTACACAGAAAAGAACAAAATTACACGGATTATTTAAGAACAAAATTACACTTTTGCTGGCAAATCTAAAAATTTGGCTCAGATACAGATCTGAAAAACGATTTTATTGGGCCTTAAAAATTATTATATACGATGTTCAAATTGATTGTCAAAGAAGATCAAACATTTTTGCAGTATTATCACCAGTATTTAAGTGTTCTACAAAATAATTTTGATGGGCCAACAAAATTATTTTCAGATCTGTATCTGGTCAAGTTTTTAGATTTGCTAGCAAAAGTATTCTTTCCGTGTACTACTCGACAAAGATGACGCTAATTTTACTATACAAAAAGAAAATAATATTAATTAAAATAATATTTAACTTGACGAAACAAAATTGATAAAACAATAGTATTTATATGAGACGATTGCGATTTTTTTCATTGTAACATAGAATACTCGAAAGTGGAGCGCGCAAAGTCGCAAGCGCGCAAAAACGCAGCGCGCAAAATTCCTCAAAATTCTCCCGCGCGCCGCTCAAGCGGAACTCTCGTCGGCGTCAGCGTTTATTCCGCTTATTATCTCCCGCCTCGTTTCTCCCGCACGATCGCTTAACACAGACATAAATTATCTTCCAAAACTAGGTGTGACCACTCCTGTATGCGGGATCGCCGGTGCCCAGCAATTGGGTAGGGCGGGATGGTCCGAGCTGAGAAATCTCTCCGACGCCGAGCCGCCCTTCAGACTGTTTCGAGACGAGGGCAGGACGTTCCTCCAGGTTGGTGGGAGAATAACTTATCGCTCTATCATTACGCGAATGTAAGATCGTAATTAGCCACGTAAGTAGTAGCGCACAGACTCGACCGGGAATAATATGGTATTTACGCGCCGCCGATTCGCAATGAAAATCGCGGGTTCGGTCCACCTTTGTTCGAGAGATACCAAATAGGCTCTCGAACCCAAAACGAACTTTCGACGTTAAACGATGCTGATAATATTCTTGATAATCGTAATTAATCGGCGCGTATTAATCGGCGCGACGACAATGTTCGAGGGAATGAAGAGATAATTCCCTCGTGTATCAAAATGTTAAATTGATTCAATTGATTCAACTCTTCGTTATCTCTATGTTGGACGAATAATTAAACTGCAGCGGTGATGTTCAAAAGAATCGAAGACAATTCTCTTATCAAAGTTATAACAAATATTTGATATATCCATTTTATTGTTAATCTTTCTATGTACATAAATTTTCTGATAGACTTTTTAATATTTTTGCTGAATATTTAACGAAGTTTAACGTATTGCTTGCAATTTATTATATATGATTATTTAATCGATCAATTATTGGATCAATTAGTGGATCGGCGAAGCTGGACTGAGAGACGCAGCGGAAGGACGAGTCGTGACAGCCAAGCTCGTCTGCAGAGACGCGTCGCCAAAGTCAACATTCTCTGGAGTTTTTACACCTTGCGTGGCCTTTAGAGTGGCCGGTTCACCATCGAAAAATAGTATGTATCATAAAAAAAAAAACAGATTATTACAATATATATTTTAAAATATTTCACAATTTCTCATAATTATAATAGAATTTTATTTATAATTTTGTAAAATAAAGAAAAATGTTTCATATAATAAAAAAAATTCAGAGAAGAAAAAGGAGAAATTTTATATATTTCAAAAGATAGGATTTTATTTATTATTACTTTACATGCTAGTTTTAATATGTACTTTACTCCTTTGAAATTTCACGCGATTATAAAATTTAAAATGAATTTTGAAGAAATTAAAAGAGAGAGATGTAAGATATTTTAGAATATATATGTATATATTGCGAAATTACATTTTATTTATTATGTCAAATAAAATTTAAATTAATTAGAACGCTGATTTTGCGCGTGATTACATACGTGAATCATATCATCTGTCAGTGACATTCCGAAGAATCAGACGTCATGGAGAAATGTACTGATTTGCTGAACGTATTTTTTTCTCACAACAGGCGTGCGAGAAGTGATGTTCTCGTCGACATCTCAGGTGTCGCAAGGTTTATCAGCTACGGAATACACCGCCATTGGTCTCTCCTCCGTAATCTTGGCCCTCATATACGTAGCCAGCATATCGTTATATTTGCACAGCAGAAGGGCGAAGAGGAAATCCATCGAGGAGGCGAACATCACTCTCGACGGCGGTCGAGACGGCGGCGGATTGGTGAAGAGTAATCCGTTGTTAGCCACCGCGAGACACTTCGAGAGCGACACTAATAGCGGACTCACCGAGAGTGATTTAGGCGAGGATCTTCCCGCGAGCGATAACGAGCAAGGCTTCGAAAACGTAAGTGCAGAACAAACTGTTACTTCTCAATCAATCGATCGATCATTTTTGTCTAACGAGCTCTTTTCTGAATTTGAATAATATCATTTGAATAATATCACTTAGAAAAGATACTTCATTTCACGTAAATTACGGAACGAATAGTTTTGCTAGAGTGTCTAAGTTTGGTTTGATACAGATTTAACAAAACAAATTGAAAAAAATTGAAAGTAATTTTATTGGATTGTTGAAAATTATATACAATATACAATTTAAGCGCGATGATAATATTTTAAAAATTCTTAATATTCTGGCAATTAATGTCCTGCATAATTATTTTGATGATTCGACAAAATTATTCTCGAATCTGTTTAAATTTTTATATATTTCAAAACAAAAAATTTTCTCGATGTGGACTTATTTTTGGACGATTGAGAATTAATCGGAAGAAATTTTCGCCAGAAGCAGATAGATTTGTAGATAGATTTGTTCTGTTGTATAATTAGATGGGGTTTACATCATCCCGGAGGATATTATGTAATTATTCAAATGCAGCGCGCCGAGCAACGAGATTGCTCGGTTATCTTCTCGCGCGATTCTCGAGATCTCTCTAATACAGAAAGCCGTCGGTCTCTCTCTCTTTCTCCCGGGACCACTGCTCGCGTTTAATAATGCATCCAATTAGCGCATTGGTTTTGCGCTCCGTTAGTCCGTACCATCCCAAGTAGGTGAGGTGCATCCCACTTTTACGCCGTATATACCGGTTGTTAGAATACCACGCACTACGATTTCAACACGTTCTGCGAACCGCTTCCAGTCTCCACGTAGTGCAATTCTTTTCTTTGCTGAAACAGCAAAGCGAGCGTAAGTCACGTCGTTGCTGGAAGAGCTCAGTCTCTGTACGATCTAGTTCTCGTCGCCCAAAGAATCTCTCGGTGATAATGTCGTCGTTTGAAAATCCTGTAAAAAATCAAGAGATCTAGCGCGAGGAGAGAGGTAAGATTTCACAATCTAGTCTCGTACGTAAGACCTGGTTCATTTCCAGCCTGATTTATGCGAATTTACGAAATTTACGTCGCTCTCGTATCTCGAGCCGTCCGATCAACGATGTCGTATATTCATCTTCAGCAGATAACGTCCGCGATCGTCCATCCTCACTGCGTGTATCTGGAGCAATCGGAAGGGCTTTTTCCCGCGGGTTCTATTCTCGGCGAGAGACTACCGGAAGAGGATGTACGGGTCGTGGAGACGGCTGACAATCCGCATCAGCAGGATGTACCGGTTCTTCCAGGTGCTCAGCGAAGGAAATTGTACTTCAATCCCGCGTACTTCGATCGACAGCTATTGCTGGTGAGTTGCTTAACGGGGGGCGGCGGGGACGATGGGGAAAGATGTTGCTTATTTCCCATTCGTGCTAGTCATCCGCGCGTTTTCGAACTCTGGAATGCTTTTAATGGACGCCGTACCCTCGACGTCCGTTCGATTCGTCTACGTTCTCGCACACTCGACCAGCGACAAGATAATTTGAAAACAGCCCGGCGTTTTTCTAGGCCCCACCTCCGGCTGCCATCGAGTTCCTCCTCAAAATCCGAGAAGTCATCTCCATCGCCAAGCACAAGATGGCTGCGAAGAGATTTGTTCCTACCCTCACCGGTGAGCACACATTTCGCGATCCTTTAAAGAGAAAGAATGTTCCCCGTAAGTGTCGGTCCACAATAAGTATTTAATCTTTAAGTCGTAAGAAATTGACCAATCATAGTCGATTATTCTTTTCATATTCGATTATAATTGGTCAATTTCTTACTTCTTAAAGCTTAAATCACCTATCGTGGACCGACACTAATAAATGATAAAGCAAAACGAACTTTCTAGTTACATGCTGCGAAGAAAAAATTTGTAGCTCGAGAATAGTAGATGTATGAATAATTAAATCGATACTTCTTCTCGTTTGGAAAAATTTGACATGAGAAATAGAGAAATTAGTGAAAATCGTGAAAGTATAATTCTGTTTCAAGCCCTCGCGTATTTTCAATGTTTTCTCGCATGCCTGTAGATTTCCAACTATTTCATTCTTGCGATCTCGCAAACTTCTTGAATTATTTCTCTTATGCTCGCACGAGTGGATTTCGTGCGTCTAATGGAAAGCGCGTTAAGCATTTTGCAATAAATGAAAGCAGCGTCACTTTCACTCGCCATAATTAAGAATAATTAATCCGCCATTTTCCCCCCATCTTCGTCATCGTCAAGTGGGATAAATCTGTCACGCAGGTATTCCGGAAGAGGAGAGCGGTTCCGAACGCTGCGAGTCGGCAAAGTCAAGCAAGCACCAGCAGAGAACGACGCCGAGCTCCATCCAGGCAGGCTCGGTCGCGAAGTCGCGCAAATCTCAACGATGCACCGGATGTCCCGGCTGCAGCGAGTCTCCCCGACAGCTTCCTGCTCTTCCTGTTCCCGACTTGCCCAGCCACGGTGAGAGCAAGGTGCGCGCCTGGTTGGAAGACGTGCGACCGCCGCAGCGTCGCTGGAGAGACGCCGAGGACACGCGCAAGAACTTCCAAGAGAACGCCCGGACGTTTGCTAAAAATCTCGAGTACCTGAAGGAGCTGGCCAGACGCGACTTTGTCGACGGTGACGACCGCGCGAGTCTGGTCGGCAAGTCGGTGTCGTCGTGGAAGGACAACCCGCCGATGCTGAGGACCTTCCAGAACATCGCCGCCAGGAGCGAGATTCTGGAGAACGCCGACCGTCACAGCGTGTCCAGGCGGTCGACCAGATCCATGTTCGAGGGATCCGAGTACGATCGTCACGGTAAGCGGGCGAACGGCAGAACGTTCCAATTCGCCGCTGGTGACGACGCGATAAACGCGAAGGTACGCAAAGCCATCGAGAATTCCTTCATCAAGCAGATGGAGGAAAACGCGGCCATGGAGAATGGGACGAAGGGGAGCGCGAAGGACGACAGGAACAGCAAGAGCGAGGACGAGTCCGCCAAGACGGAGAGGTCGTCCAGCAACACGGAGGAATCGGAGAAATCGCGATGCCAGCAACCGCCGCAGGGTAATCCGGCGCCGAAGAGATCGAGGAAGTCGAAGGCAGCGCCATGCGCGCCGTCGTTGAAGAAGAAGGAACTCCCGGATATGATCAACGAGTTACCCGGCGCGAAAAACACCGCCAAGCGCATTATGGACGCGGTGATACGCGAGATGGTGGACGTGAAGGCATTGGACCACCATCACGCCAGATCGTCCGATCGTATCATAACGATCGGCGACTACGAGGTGGACAGTCTGGAACGTTCCAAGTGTAGCCGAAAGTCCTCGACGTCGCCGGATCAGTCGTCGACGGACAATCAATCGAGCCCGGCTTTGTCCACGGCGCTGCCGATGGACGAGGAGCTGACGATGCAGAACGCCGTGATCAACACGCGAACCGGCGAGATGACGATGTCGAAGCTCAGCAATCAGATCCTCGCGAGGAATTGCTACAACAGTCTGCCAGAGCTAATCAGCAGCCAGCGATCGGAGACGTACTCGCTGGTGAGCGAGGTTTACGTCAACGACGGCTACGCCAGTCCGGCTTGCAGCGACGATAGCGGCCCGGAGATCCAATACGAGCCGGAGAATCCGGGCCATCTGACCATCAAGGTCCAGGATTCGCCAGAGAATTACGTAAAGCTCGACGAGTCCGAGTACGAGCCCGACACCTTGGACCGAAAGCCGATGAAGCTGCGGATCAACGACGACACGCAATACGACCGCAGGGAGATCATCAACGAGGTTTACGTGGATTCCTTGGAGCGGCCGGCTCAGATCCTACTCAGGAGCAGGGGCAGCTTCCGCGACGAGAACTCCGCAACGCTGCAACGCGGTCACGGCAGTCTACGAGAGATATACGAAGCGAGGATCAAGTCGAGCCTGAAGGACCAGCATTTAACGAACGGCCACGACGTCGAGTGCCAGGTGAACGGCGAGTCCGACGGCACCCTCTCGTGGAAGAAGTGCAGGTACCTGACGCCGGACAGCAGGCAGGCCAAGAGACAACGACAGCCGCACAATCAGCCGGACGTGGTGCCGTTACCGCCCACGGAGGAGGAGATCTATCAACGGCCGAAACCACCGCGACGCGTCGAGGACGCGAGGCTGCCGCCGTTATCTCCGTCAAAAAACGCCTGGGACGGGAGTCCTGTCGAAGCGGGTGACCCTACGGCCAGCAACGGCGCTCCTGTCCCGAAGGCTGACGGATATCATGTAGGGGACCAAACCTGCCTCTGCGCGTCGCAGACTCAGGTCGACGTCGCGACGAGGTCCAAGTACGAGGTTTACAACGAGGAGCGTCGCGAGAACGTCGTTCCTTTCACGGAAGCGACGTTCTTCAACGAGAGGATAGGTGAGTGCACCGTGACGAACCGCTGCAGGGACTGCCCGTGCGAGACGCGGATCGAGATCGAAGTTCCCGAGGATAGGTACAACTTCTACCATGGGCACGTGGTTGGCTCCTCTAAGGAGGAGGTCTCGGTGCGAAACGGAACGAAAGTGACGCGAGAGAAACGATCCGTCTCGAGTTTCTCTCATCACAGAGGCTCCGCGAGAAGTTCGAAGCCGCGAAGCTCGTGGAGCGTCGATCATTGTCACGAGGACGAGAGCAGGCTCCTCGACAACGGCAGGGCGCAGAGCTGCGCCAGCAGGACGAAGCAGCTGATGAAAGGCCTCTCGAAGAGCTGCGATTCCGGCTTTCCGAGCGTGCTGCCCTTGATGGACAATCGGCGCGGTCATGCGAAGGTCGAGGACAGCGGCTACCTCAGCAGCACCGACAGCAACGGCTCGCGCAAGCGGCTGCTGAAGCACGAGGTCAGCAGCGTGTCCGAGGAGACCGACGAGACCGAGTCGGTATGCGACGGCGCCAGCGAGAGCGGCGCCGAGAGCGTCGGCACCGACAGCGTGTTCTTCGGCAACTTTCGCCGGATTTCGGAGATCTCCAAGAGCGCCGATTCCGGCGTGGATCTGGGAACGAGGAATTCGATGTATCAACCGTTGTTTGGCACGAGAAACGAGACGACGGTGGTTCTGGAAAGAGGGAATTTCAGCGCCAGCGACAGCGAAACCGAGAGTCTCGTCACTGTATTGCCGCCCTGTGGCGGTCAGTGTAACAAGTTGATATCGTAAACGGCACCGAAGAAATTTAATCGGGCTGAAGGGTTCGTTTCAAAGTCTAGTCTAACATTTTTAATTTTTTAATTTCGTGAATTTTTTTCAATTTCAAATCCTAAAATTTTAATATTTCTAATACATAAAATACATCGTTGTAGAAATATTTTCATGATATTTTTTGTTTTTTAACTGCGTTATTCAGGAAAAAACGTAAAATAAACGTTGAACTTGTCGGATTTTTGATGAAACAGTTATCACTTATATACGGATACTATCTATAAAAAGTAGTTACAATAGATTTTAATCTAAATAAAATAAGAAACTTTACTTGATATTTTATTTAAAACTTTCGTAATACTATATTTAAAACTTTACTTAATACTTTACTTAAAACTTTTTTAATACACTTTTTGTAACACTTTTTAATCCTCACATTTATCATTATCATTTTCTATCATTTCTAACAGGAATTAGACAATTTTTGTATGATTCTTGCTTATAGATACACTAAGGACAAGTTTTTTTATACAATACAATACAAGTTATCCAATTTTTGATGTCCAATGAATGTCATGAACAATATTGTTATCTGATTATAATTAAAAATTTTCTTGGACTTGATTTTCGAAATGGATTTGATTTTTGAAATCAATCCTAGATAAACTCTTCATGAACTGTTTATATCAATAAAATCTATGCTATATGTAGGGCAACGCAAAAGATTTTGGTGCCGATATTTCAATTAAATGAAGGTATTGAAGTAAGAAAGATAACATTACAATTATTTATAACTCAAACGCAAAATATGCAAAGTTAGGTTGTATAAAAATAACTTCAACGCAGAAGTGTAAAATAATAATTATTTTTTTATTACGAATAATTTTAAGAATAATATCGTGATATTTGTCGTAAATGTAAATTTTTTACCGTAAAAATATTAAATCGTAAAAAATCAAAACAATTTTTTGTTAAAATTGTTTCTGTTTTTATTAATATATTTCCTGTCAATTTAAAAATTTATATTGTAGCAATATTAGGATGCAATTTAACAATTTTTTTAGAGAGTAAGTAGAAATCAAAAAACGATCTGCCATCGTATTAGATAGTATCAAATCTATATCGAATCTAATATCAATAAGATAATAGCATCTGTGCTATTAAATTTTCGAAGATAAATCTCAAAGAATTCAAATTCGAGAATAAAAAATTTTAATAAAGTGAAACGTCTGATAAGTTTTAAGGCCAGTATAGAAAAAAGTTAAATTTTTATAGTAAAGTTAATTTACAACTTTATTATAAAATGGATAACTTATACCAATACGATAGTTTCATAAGAATTATAATTAAATGCAAAGCGCTATGCGTGCTTAAAAGTTCATTAAGCGGGTAAATGATGATGTTCTCTTTGCTCAGTATACAACAATTAAGAGACTTCCTTGCATTAAATATTTTTTATATTACTATATCTCTAAGCTAAAGTATATATCAAAGTCCATAATATTTATAACTAGATGCATGTATCTAGATTATTACTATTATTATTACTGAATAATAGTTTTCAATATTAACTTGAAAATAATTTAAAGAAATATGTATATAAAGAAACTTTTATAACTATTGCTCATATTCGTAAAATACTTTTCTATAAATTATATATATATATAACATCTATTTATTTATATTTATTATTTTTTATTAATCAACTATTAAACACAAGACACGTGGAATAAGTTCATGGAGAAAGTGATAATGTTTTTATCATCAATGAATAAAAACGTTTATTTACGGATTGTTGCTTAATGGATTGTAATGAGTGCGATCGAAATGATCGTAGTTGCTGCAATCGAAACGATGTACGAATACATTATCGGCCGGAAGTGCAATATTAGTCCGTAATATAAAAAAAAAACTGCACTAATCATAAATTAAGTAAATAACAGGCACGATAAGTTGGACGTGATAGAATAGGATTATTATAACAAAATAAATACAAAAGCAAGTTTCTACGGGAGTAACGACAACGCAAAGAAAAAATAATTAATTACTCATAAAGATATTATTTTTTACTATAAATTATTTTAATCATTGTTTTTCTGGGAGATATTTAAAGAATAAGAGAATTATATACATACATTTCATGTAAGTGAAAAATAATGATATCTTACCAAAAGATATTAATATCTTATATATTTTCCTGATATAATTATAGATTATGACAATGATTGTGTTACTGTTCCCTTTATTTTCAAATGTTTTTTATTATTGTCTTTAAGAAATAGTCCAGAGTATAGCTAAGAATATTTTGCCGTTATTAATAGTTAATTAATATGCAGGAATGATATAACGAATAATATTAATATAAAAACTAATATATATGCAACATAATTTATAAATTTAAGATATTTTTATAATTTTGTTTCGCAAACAATTCTTGAAGTTTATTTATCGTTATTACTCCTTATGATTTTGCATAAACAAAAAATATTTTTTTTAACGAAATAATATATTTTTACATGTTATTAATATTATTTTGTTTATAAGAGTTTTATATATTTATTATTTAATAATTATTTTAAATTAATTTATATTTATATTTATCTTTTAAAAATTGTTATAACTTTAGAAGCGCACGCTTCCATGTACCTGCCAAATGTAAATATTCGAAATAGATCTTAATATATACTGTTAATTGTATTTACATATCCTATTTAATATTATTTTGCGATATTTTGTTTTAATATACATATATTTTATAGAATGTTTTTTAAAGTAATATAATATACAGATATAAATATGCCGTTCCGATCATAAAGATTCTCGCAAGCATCTGAACAAGAAATGAATACATTATTAATATATTAATTTATTTATTTAATGTTAAATCCGCTTTAATTTATCATATAATAATTATTATAATATAATAAAAATGATAAATATGATTATAAGACAGAGAGTATATTATTTATTATCATATTACAATTTCTAAATTTCAAGTTACTTTTTATAGATTATTAATGATATTGTCTTTATATCAATTTATCAGCGATTATTATATTTTATAAAGATTTTTAAATCGAAGTTATATGTTGTTGTTCAAATGCTTGCAAAGTGATCGCAACGTAGCATAAGAAATTATGGGAACAAATTCTTTTAATTACTCGGCCATTCGGTATGAGTAAGTTGGTTTGGTGTCGGTAGGTTTCGGGTACGTCAAGAGAACGTTTCGCACAAGATAAAATTGCATATCAAAGAGATTCGAGAGCTACATATTTATTAATGAAATATGAATTATATGAATAATTCCAATTTTTTACAGCGTGATAAAACATTGTTGAGTATCTTGTATCGTTTAATTGAAGCGACGTTGTTGTCCTAATTATGGAAAACATTACATTGTGATTGTACATATATGTATGTAACAAATATTCTTACTATTTTATAAAAAAAATTGTTAACGGGAAAGATGCAGATTTAATACGTATTTTACTTCCACAAACATTCTACATCCTTCCTTTTACAAAATTAAAGCTATCAATCGTATAATTATTTTTAACGTCGTACATGATTCTCTAATTTGCAATTCTTGAAATTTTCATATCATTTCTCATCCCTATATTCTCTTGATATTTCATTTATTCGACAGTTTCTGCAATTTTAATTTTTCTAAAAATAAACTAGATTAATCACGAAAAAGAGTACAAAATGTAAAATAGTGCGAAAAGGACATATATATATATATATATATATATTGACAAAAAAATATACAAAAAATATTTTTTATTAAGTATATAATTATTTTTTATCTTATCTCTTAACTTTATCGTATATTTTTGCGTAAAGATATAAATTCATATACGCAAATAATTATTTTCTCTAGCATACAAATACAATCTGTACAAATATACATATAACAGGTACATAACAATAAGAATAAATCATAAGTAACTTTATATCGATCGAGACGGTGTCACAGTTTTAAGATTATTATTATGTACATTTATTGTATTGTATATATCTAAGATAAAGAGATTTTATTTAAATTTTCTATGGATTTAGAAGATACTCTTAGAATCTTTGAAAGAGTTTCAAGTAATTTATCTTTGTACTCAAATACTTGTTTTGAATTATTACATTCGGCAAATCCTTGTGTCTCCAATGTATAATGCACTAGAGACCACATAATGTCTCTAAATTCCAAAATTACATTAGCAGTTCTAGAAAAAAAATAGAAATTTTAGCAAATATATAATACTGATAAAAAGAAAAGAAAATAGATAAATACTTACTCTTTGTCACAAGTAAATCTTAACTTATGTCGTGCATTAAGTTCAATTTCAATTTTTGTTCTGCCATCATCCAACTGAAAGTTGAAGAATATATTATGAACTATATAATGTTGCCTATCTTACATGCTACGTTTAATCACAAAATCATTTAATTACTTCATGAAATTGAGTTTCTCCTTGATTAAAAAGTAATACTGTTAGAGGTGATATCATGCTTGCTTCACGAATTACCGTACAACGCCTTATATCGCAATGCGAGGCGTTAAAATATGTTAAGAAAGAACTCGGCCAATCTTTTCGATTATAATTTACACTTTCCCCTGAAATAACAGCTTTAGCACGGCCACTGTAAGAATGAAATAACAAATAAAACTGTTTTAAATCGCATTTAAATTAAATCTAAATAGTTAGAATTTATGCTTACATTCGAAGTTCGTTGACACCCTTTCTCATAATTCCATTTTTAAATCCCATATTTTTATGTTCCATCAATTGCTGCGTTGCAGAATATAATACAGCTCGTATTAATTCATTGTTATTTTCATATTTATTTATATCAACATCAGATTTATTATAATCGTAATATGCAATATCTTTGGGCAACATGCGACAATGTATCAAGTTCAGAATAAATTTATTTCGTATTTCTGCAAAATTGTGATTTCACTCAGTTTAAAAAGAAAAGAAGAGTAGATTGACAAAATGAAGAATTCGATTTGGATAAATTCAAATAGCAATCAACAAAATAATTTATAATATATTATATTTACCATTCAATATTCGCATTCTGGTTGGCCGAAGCATCTTTTCTTTACAAAATTTCCCTAATAAACGTGGATTTGTTTCGTTGTACACAAACCATTGTTTAAACAGCCATGCTATTGCGTTATGATCGCTGGCTGGATGATATAATTTTTTATTTTCCCTGATTACTTGCTTCTGGTTCAACACATTATAAAACATATTATCTTCACTAGAGAAAACGCTGGCTATCGTTACAACAGGATGTATGCAGCTATTGTTAAAACGAAAAGATTTATTAATAAAAATTTATTAATAAAAAAATAATCGATGATGGCCCTTACAAATGAGCTTAATGATATTATTTGAACTCACTTAAAGATGGAAGAATATACCAATGCTTTACTGAATTTGGGATGCGTTGGAAATAGCGCTATTCGTTTACCCAAAGTCGTGAGATTCTCTTCATCATCTATAATTCCGAGATTTACTAAATTTTTTATTGCTTTCTGTATCGCAATTGGAGTAGGCGGTTCCAATAGACCACCCAGAAATTTTTCTGCTTTCTCGTCCGTATATGTTTTAGTATCAAGAATTAATTTTTCCAATGAACTGCATAACACTTCCGGTAATGGATGTGCCTTTAATTTCTCGTATTCTTTTTTTGTGATTAAATGATAACTTTCACCAGCCTGAACTCGTCCAGCTCTTCCTTTTCTATATAAAAATTAATTATCATAATGTAAAATCATATTTTTAAAATATTATTAAATTCAAAATAGTATTGGAACAATTTTTTAAATATTTACTTCTTCTTTCTTCACATGTGAATAACAATATAGTTTTATTATACAACAATAAAAGTAATTTATTCTCAATAATTACCTTTGTTGTATATTCGCCCGAGATACCCACTGATTACTTATACAGGGTAAATCTTTGTCTTTATCCCATTGCGATTCCTTTCGTATAGCAGAATCTATAACATAGACCACATCACTAACCGTAATGCCCGTCTCAGCGATATCCGTAGCCAAAATAACTTTTCGCATGTCCGCGGGTGTAGGTTGAAAGATTTTGCGTTGATCGTAGTGTGATACTTTGGAATGCATCGGCACAATCAAATACCTGTTAGAATACAATGACGTGTCTTCGAGCATACTCTGCACGTTCATAATTTCATTCCATCCTGGTAAGAAACACAAAATAGCACCGGGCGGCTTTTGCGCTGAGATCCATTTTATAAGCTGTACTATTTTTTCGTAATCAACCATAAGTTTGTCGGTCTCAATTTCGTAACGAGTATGCATTGATCTATATACTTTGTGCTTATGAATATTTGGTAGATGCTCGATATCCTCCATGAAATGCATTTTTACAGGATACAGCCTACCAGGTATTCGTACAGTGGGACAATTGAAATATTGTTGGAACATATGTGCATTTATGGTCGCCGACATGATCAGCACCTTTAAATTAGGATTTTTTTCCAGGAGTCTCTTGAGTAAAATCATCAGCATATCAGTCTCAATCGAGCGTTCGTGCGCCTCGTCCAAAATGACGTGTGAACATCCTTCTAAATTCGTATTGCTCTGCAATTTTCTCAGTAGAATACCAGTAGTGCAAAAAACTATCGCGCCAAGTTCCTTCGGCAATGACTGTTCTAATCTCACTTGAAAACCCACAACGTCCCCTACACTTTCATTTCTTTCGTTCGCGACGCGATCTGCCAGAGAGATCGCCGAGATTCTTCGTGGCTGCGATACCAATATATTACAATCAGTAGCGTTCCCATTTCGTACGAAAGAATCTAATATAAATTGAGGGACCTGGGTAGTTTTACCACAGCCTGTATCGCCTTCTATTAATAGAACTCGATTGTTCTCCAACTTAGAGAGAATTTCTTCTCTGAAATAAATAATATAAAGTAAATAATATAAATAAGTAATAAAAATAGATCTATTTCTATTTATTATTGTTTGAAGAAAAGCAGGTTAAATATGTGCACGTAAATATAAAAATAAACAATTTTTCATACTTAAACTCGTGAATTGGTAGAATGATAGCGTTGTCGGTATGTCTTTCCAACAATCTGTTCTTCAAAGTTTTATTGCGAAGATAAATATTTGTGTCAACATTTTCACCAAGTACTGGATGGCCAGACATAGGTAGATTTAGTAGATTGTAAACATTGGAAGTATTTTCCATTAAACCATGTATTTCCTAAGTATTGCATGCATTATTAAAACAATCAAATATAGTCATACACAAGTCAATTTTATATCAAAAATAATAATTTAAAATCTTACCGTGTTGTAAGTTTCAATTAAATTTGTCATATTTTTTAAAATGTCAGCAGAAATACTTAATTCAACAGGTTTTAATTGAATATTTCTTAACTCCGTTTGAGTATAAATAATTGGTTTGCCGTTTTTCAATTTGCCATTCATTTCTAACCACTGCAAGCACTTCCAAGATGCAGTTTTTGTAGCTAGTATTTTGCTTCTACCAATTTCCTTGAAAGACTTATTTTCTGGCCATTTGACTGTCAAAGTTGTTTCCCAGAAGTTAGATCTATTTATTTTAATGCTCCTAATATTTTCCGTAAAAACTGCTTGATTTTTAAGTTCATGAGCCACAATTGCATAAATAGATGATAAAGAATTCTTTGGTTGCTGGTATAAGCGTTCTATTCCTGTAATTTTTAATAATTTTATTTATTAAATAAGTTGATAAAAATCAAAGTAAATCGTATAATTACATATTATAATTACATGATGAATTTATTTCTTTGTATATTATACTGATTATTTTAGAAAAGAAAAAAACATTCTCTATTTACAAGAATCAACATGGATTTATCAAGACGAACATAAAATTTAATATATATAAATAATAAGTAATATATTTAATATATATAAAAAAATAAGTTTTTGCACTGCATTCCAATTAAACTGCATTACAAATTAAAATTAGAAATTAAATTAGAAAAAAATTTTTTCTAATTTAATTTCTTTTTACTAGATCATGAAAAATACTCTCATAACATAAAAAAAATTATACATCTAACATA